ACCAAAGTTTATGATTAAAACTATCATAAAAATATGTATTCTTATAATTAAAACATGTAAAAATTTTTAATTATTATTTTTCTTACATTGAATTTTTTTTCAAATATATGTAAAAATGCTTACCAAATTTTGTGATCGAATTATCAGAGATATACGTATTCTTTTAATTACCAAGTTTGAAAACTTTTAGTTACTTTTCTTACATTGATTTCTTTTGAAAAATATGTAAATATATGAAGTTTGATGGGCTTTCACCAACCAATGAATAATTTTTATATTATTTGTAAAGTGATTTTGGAGAAGTGTTTACATCTCACCTCCACAATCATTTTTACTAAAAAAAATAAAACAAGTATTAAAAAGTATTATGACATGGTTTAAAAAGTATAATGTAGCTAAAAACGATGACCTGAAAAAAAATATTTACAAAATTTTCCATGACTAAATTTATATTTATTTATGTAAATATTTACTTTAAAATTAATCAAAACCATATTTTCCATAAATCAATACTTACCAAATTTTATGATCGAACTATTAGAAACATACATTCTTTTGATTACCAAATTAAAAATTTTTTAATTATTGCTTTCTTATATTTAATTTTTTTCACATATATTTTAAAAAATGCTTATCAAATTTTGTGATTGAACTATCAGAAATATATGTATTCTTTTAATTACCAAATTTAAAAACTTTTAATTACTACTTTTCTTACATTGATTGTTTTTAAAAAAAATACGTATACATATAAAGTTTGATGGAATTTCATCAACCAATGAATGATTTTGATATTATTTGTGAAATATTTTTGGAGAAAACATTTGTGTGTCACCTTCACAATTACTCTCACCAAAAGAATTATTACATGTAGTAAAGAGTATTATGATATGGCTTGAAAGGTATAAAATGGCTCAAAAACGATGACATGAAATTTTTTAAAGAAATAGTTACAAAGTTTTTCATAACTAAATTTATATTTATTTACATAAATATTTAGTTTGAAACTAATCAAAATCAGATATTCCCTAAATAAAATTTATTAAATTTTGTGATTAAACCATCAAAAAAATATGTATTTTTTTAATTAACTAACTTAAAAAGTTGTAATTACTACTTTTCATACATTGAATTTTTTCAAATATACGTAAAAAATGCTTAACAAAATTTCTAATTGAACTATCAGAAATATATGTATTCTTTTAATTACCAAATTTAAAAACTTTTATTTACTTG